AGGCGGGATGGTCACGCCACAATCCCTTCTCCTCCATTCTACTCTTGGGATCTTGGGCACCCACACACGCGCCCAGCATGAGTTTAAGCCATTGGGTTTAGGACTCGAACCACGGTCGGCTACATGGGAGTCCAGCGACATAGCCATTATACCAACTGCTGGTTCCCATCTCACCTAATCTTAAAGAAGTATTTAATTTAATTAATTTATTTAAATTTGACCAGAGAGGGACAGAGTGAGAGACAGAGAGAGGGAAAGTGAGAAAGCCAGCACCAGGTCTGGGATTCGAACCATGGTCGGCCATGTGGGAGTCTCATGCCCTTAAGCACCACATCACCTGCCGATCCCCATCTCACCTAACTTCATCAATAACCTTGCAGGGAGCTCCGTGCCTGGTGGTTAAGGAAGGCGGATCCCACAAGGCTGACTGCACACTTCCAATTCCAGACCTGGTGGCTTGAGCTGGATACATGTGCAGGTGCGCAAAATTCCAAAAGAAGGGAGAGAAAGAGAAGAGACTGCCACATGACCACTCCCTGGGGGGTGCTTTCTCCTCCCTCTCTGGTGAGCACACATGCCCTCTAACAAAAAATAAAAACAAAAACAACCTCATGAAGTATTTAACTATCCCCATTTTCAGAAGGGAAGATGGACCCAGGGTGCAGAAATCACTTATCCAAAAAGCACACAACTAGACAACCCAGTGGCATGTGGTTAAGATGGCTAGATGCTACTGGCCAACTGTGTGGTTCAAGTCCTGAACCCGGCAGTACATACAAGCCTAAAATCCCAAAAGAAAGAAGAAATGGTGGAGAAGGGATTGTACTGTGAGTATCCCCCATGGGAGGTGCTTCTTACGCTAGCAAATTAAAAAAACAAAACAAACACCTGACTAAAAATATTCAGAGTCAGGAAACCAGCACTGTCAGACTCCAGGAGCTGCCTTTTTTTTTCTTTTTTAAAAAGTTTCACTAAAGAGTCTGTGCGATCGGGAACCAGCAGTTAGCGTAATGGCTATGTCACTGGACTCCCACGTAGTCGACCGCGGTTCAAGTCCCGGACCCAGTGGCTTAAAACTCATGCCAGGCGTGTGTGCGTACATGCCCAAGATCCTGAGAGGAGAATGGAGGAGAAGAATTGCGGCGTGACCATCCCCCCTGGGGGGTGATTTCTCGTTTTCTGTCTCTCTGTCTCTCTCTGTCTGTCTGGCGAGCGCACGCGCCCTATAGCAAAAACCTCTCCAAAAAAAAAAATAAATAAAAGAGTCTGTGCGAGGGACCAGCAGTTGGTATAATGGCTAAGTCGCTGGACTCCTATGTAGTTGACTGCGGCTTGAGTCCCGGACCCAGTGGCTTAAATTCACACTGGGCATGTGTGCGTGAGTGTCTAAGATCGCGTGAGGGGAATGGAGGAAAAGGGATTGTCGTCGCGCCTCCAGGGGGTGATTTCTCACTTTCTATCTCTCTGTCTCTCTTGTGAGTGCACACACCCTATAGCAAAAACCTCTCCAAAAATAAATAAATAAACAAGTAAATAAATAAATAAAATAAAGAGTCTGTGTAAAAGAGAGAGAGACAGAGAGAAAGAGAGAGATCGTCCATGCTACAATCCCTTCTCCTCCATTTTCTTCTTGGGATTTTAGGCATGCACGCATAGATGCCCAGCATGTTTTTCAAGCTGCTGGGTCCAGGACTTGAACCACACATTCAGTTTAAGTGGGATCTAGCTGCCCTAACCTCCATGCCACCACTGGTCCCAGGAGCTGCCTTTTTAGCCTCTCCCACGCTGAGGAAACGTGTCTGGTCTGGGCCATGAAGGATGAGCCACAATTTGGCAGGTGAGAAGGGAATTCTGTGCATAGCACCCACACACCTCCCCCTGAGCTGTGGTCTGGTCTGGACAGCTTAGGACTCTGGTTAGATGGAAGATGTTCCTCGAACCCAGGGCTTAGGTCAAGGGGAGGAGCAGGTACGCACCTCAGGGTGAATGCACAGGTTCTTGCGGGAGCTCAGAGCCAGTCCCAAAAACGGCAGCTTCTCACCGTCCTGCTTCTCGTAGAAGTTGAGCAGCTTGCGCAGTTCTTCAATCACCTGCTCCACAGTAGGGGAGGGGGCACAGGACAAGCTTGTGCTTGGCAGAAGCATACACCCCTGCCTCGCCGGCCCCGGCTTCTTTCTCAGCTTCCCAAATATCCCCTGGAGCTGGTGAGGGCGACCACCGGGGGAACAACAGGGTGGGGAAGAGCAGGAGGTGGAGCACCATCCAGCATCCACCTACCTTCTCGATCTCTGGCACCGTCCTGGAGCAGTAGATGAGTTTGGTCACCTCCAGTGGATAGGCCTGTCCACGACAGACAGGCTCAGCCCCTGTCCAGTCCCTCCCCTCTTCTCCACTCACGGGCTTAGCGGGTCACTCACCCGCTGATAGGCCATGATCAGAGCCAACAGGGACACGGTCTTCCCAGTGCCCGAGGGCATCTCCAGAACTCCATGGCCCTGTGTGGTGGGGATAGGAGGACAAGACACAGCTCCTCAGAACCCTGAGGACACAAACTCGGTACTCCCTACCCTCTCCTAACCCCATCGTCTGTGAGCAGCAGGACAACACAGCAGTTAAAGGTCTGAGCCCGGGGCCAGCAGGTGGCGTGGTGGTTAAGGTGCTGGATTCCCACATGGCTGACCACAGTTCCAGTCCTGGACCTGGAGGCTCGAAAATCATTCTGGATGCATGTGCAGCATGCCCAAATTCCTGAGAGGGAAATGGCGGAGAAAGGATTGTGGCGTGGCCATGCCCCCTCGGATAGCCTCTCTTTCTCTCTCTAGCAAGCACACATACCCTATGGCAAAAACTTCACCAAAAAAGTCTGGGCACCAGGAGCAGTAGGCTTGAACGCCACTACTGCGTAAGGCCATCATCTCTCTGGGCCTCAGTGTGACATCTCTAAAATGGGCCTAATAATAACCTTTCTCAGGGCCAGCAGGTCCATGGCTGGACTCCCACAGGGCTGACCCAGTTTGAGTCCCAGACCAGGTGGCTTGAATCTCGTGCCTGGCGTGTGTGCATGTGTGTCCAAAATCCTGATAGGAGAGTAGAGGAGAAGAGATCACAGTGCGGCCATTCCCCGGCAGGCCATTTCTCACCTTCCTTCCTTCTCTCTCTGGTGAGTACACACCCTAAGTCAAAAATCTTAAAAACGAAAACAAAAATACCTATGTTTCATAACATGGCTAACAGGATTAACGAGACATATGAATGGACTAGTCAGTGTATCTGACACGTGGTAAACCCTTTTTCTTGTAATTCAGCAAAAGCTTCCACGGCATCCGCTCTGCCTGGCACTGCAGCTAAGTATCTTACATCAGGGGCTTCTCCACATCAACTCTGTGACATCCGGGTCCAGACAATCTTGGTTGTAGGGGACTGTCCTGTGCACTGTGGGGTGGCTAGCTGCACCCATGGCCTCTACCAAATGCCCTACCACTTCTCCTCCACTGGTGTGGTAACCAGGAACATCTCCGAACGCTGCCCAGTGCCCTCTGGGGAGGCGACAATCATCCCCAATCGAGAACTGCCATCCCACACACATTAGCTCACAAAACTTCTCAAGAACCCGTGAAGTGCGGGAACCAGCAGTTAAAGTAATGGCTATGTCGCTGGACTCCCACGTAGTCGACCGCGGTTCGTGTCCTGGACCCGGTGGCTTAAAACTCACGCCGGGCGTGTGTGCGTGCGTACCCAAGATCCCGAGAGGAGAATGGAGGAGACGGGATTGCGGCGTAGCCATCCCCCCTGGGGGGTGATTTCTCATGTTCTTTGTCTATGTCTCTATCTGTCTGGCGAGCGCACGCGCCCTACAGTGAAAATCTCTCAAAAAAAAAAGAACCCGTGAAGTGGGAATATTACTATCCCCATTTTACAGAGACGGAAATGGTGGAAGAGGAGGTCAAATGATCTGTCCAAAGGCACACAGATGGCTCGTGGGTCCAGGATTCCCACCCAGGAGGCAGACTCCAAAGTTTATGTATGTATTCCTAGCCACTGGGAGACTCAGCCCTGGAAAACGTTAGCTGCTTTTGTTAACCATTATAATTTCCGATAACAAATGACAGTTCGGGGGACCAGCAGTTGGCATAACGGCTATGTCGCTGGACTCCCATGGAGTCAACCACGGTTGGACCATGTAGTCGACCACGGTTCGAGTCCTGGACCCAGTAGCTTAAACTCACTCCGGGCACGTGTGCATGCCAAGTCCCCTGCAGGAGAATGTGGGAGACGGCATTGCAGCGGGGCCACCCCCCCCCCCGGGGGGGGGTGATTTCTCGCTTTCTGTCTCTCTCTCTCTGTCTCTCTGTCTTTCTGGCGAGCGCACGCGCCCTATACCAAAACCTCTCCAAAAACGAAAAAAAAAAAAGACACTTCGGAGTCCTGGATTCTCTGGGATCTGGATTTCTAAAATCTAGACGACCTACAACCTCGGTCTTGGGCCCACGCGGGGGAGTCGCACCTGTCAAGCCCCGGCCGTGCACACCCACCTTGGCGTCCAGCGTGCGTTTGAGCTCCAGCATGTAGGAGAACTGCTCCGGGTAGATGTAGTCGTAGGGGAAGTAGACCAGCAGCCCGTCCACGTTGAGCCTGGCGGCGGGGGCTGCTGGGTCCGTCCGGGTCCCCTCCGCCCCTCTGCAGTCTCCACATTGCCCCGCCCACAGGCCCAGAAGTTACCTTCCGCCCCCGGCCCGCCGGGCCCGCCGGAAATCCTCACCCCACCCTCTCCGTCTCCC